AAATGCATATTTTTGTGACTTTTGATCTATATTTTCAAGTTACCATTCAAAAGAGTTCTATAGTTTAAACATCCTGAATCTATATTTTCAAGTTACCATTCAAAAGAGTTCTATAGTTTAAACATCCTGAACAGTATGTGATTTTGCTTGTTTCCCTGCTTACTTATCATCACTGGATTACCTTAATTTTTAAAATGAGTAGATATTGCTCATTTAAGACTTCCTAAAGTGACACTTCATCTCTAAATACAGGAATTTAAAATTGCTTTGATATTTTCTTGGAAATAAGCTTTATCCTTTGAACGTTAAATGCTAGAGCCCATTCATGGTGGTTTGGATTTTGGCCTTGCCTCCTATCCCTAAAATACAAACCACTATCCTTTCATACTTCAGCACAGGTTATCTCATGTACAGAGCAAAGAATTAGGATCTGTGCTGGTGAGCTTTTTTAGCACTTTTTGTTGCCTGTTGAGAAACTTAGGTCAAGTCATTTACTCTCTCTCCACATGAATGTTTCTAGGTCTGAAAATCTGGAAGAATGGTTTTTAGATAAATTATTTTTTAAACTAGTGAAATGAGCTATGCATTTAGTATAGTAGCTATTTAGTACATATTTTTTTGGTGGGCAGAAGAAAGGAAGACAAGAAAGCTGCTAGATATTGATAAGGCTTGAGGAATTCTAGTATACTTTTGTAAAGAATTAAAAACATATCAGTTTTTATTAGTTTAAGAAATATATCCTGGCTGATTTTGATATCTTACTAAATAATTCATTTTCATTTAAGTAGGTTACCTTTGAATTAAATTCTCCTGTTAACATAAGGAAGCATGTAATTTATTTTAAAATAAGAAAAAAAGAAAGCTATTTTCATATTTGGGAAATGAGAAGGGAGGAGACTGTGTAACCTTGTAAATGAAACTACTAGCCCAATAACTTAAAAAAAAACAAACAGCTAGTTTTCCTGTCTCCTGAAAAGAATCCCCCTCATCTCAATTTGGTAAAAGAAACTGTCATTCTCCTATTGTCAGAAGGAGTAGTCACTGTAGGAAAACTGCTTGCAAACCTGGTTTTAAAAGATTCATCAGCCTACAGTCTGTCTTGGTAGAAGAGACTTATAAACTCTGGAGATATAAATTCTGTAGTTTAAAAATGTATTTTAAAAAAAATACAACTAATTATATCAGTAAATAATCAGATTTATGTAACATCATTGAATTTTACTTGAGATAAAATTTAGCATTTTTAACTTAAAGAGTTTTTATTAAAAAGTAAATGCATCTATATTGTGGGCATTTCACTTGCTTTTTAGGTTATAATATGTGGTTCATATTTTTTTTAAATAAAAGGACCCTAAATAGGGTCTTTAAATAGAAAGACCCTAAAACAGTGCTGAGTTAAATAAAGTGTCTAACAAATTACCAACTTAATTCTAGAGAATTATCACATTAACATATAGATCTGGTCACATGTAAGTCCAGTGGTAGCTTTTGAAATGTATTCTCATATATTTAAAGCTTTGAGATACCATATGTATCTATTTAAATGTTTGTCTAAACTAGCAAAATGAAGGGGCTTCAGAGTACTGGAATAATCTTGAAACCTTAGTTCAGTTACAACTGTGTCAGTTAAATTCCCCCAAAATAATAAATTCTGCTCAGAGTCATATTTGCTTCATGGCAAAATAAATAAAATGATCAATTTGCTAAGATTATGAGCCTAATTTGTTTACACCGGAGAGAAATTTGTTTTGTGCAATACGATACTTATTAAATCATTAGATATCTGAATTTTGTGCAAAGTTAGTTTTTGCTTTCCTCAAAATATATTAGAGATAATTAGAAAAATTTTCTAATAGTTTATTGGGAAACTTACCAATAAACAAACTGGCTTATAAAATCTAGCATACTTTCTTCTGAATATCTATCCTTGAACTTCAAATAAGAATGAAACAAAGAAGAGAGGGGATGTTCTAATTTTTGTTCTTAGTAACTTTTCCTGGAGAAAATCATCACCACTTCCAGCTTGATTTGTTTCATTTAATTCTTGCCACATATACTTCCTAGGTCCTTACATGTTTTCTATTGAAGTAATCATTGTTGAGATTTTTCTGTTCATTTAGAGTATTTAAGGAGTCCGATTTGTGCTTAATACTGTTTATTGGACCCATGCTATCTAATAACTAAAGCATATGAAATTTACTACATTTTGTATTGATTTAATATTAACATTAATCTGAAATCTTTGGGTGCAGTGTGTCACATCTGTTTTGTATTCCTCTGTTTAAATAAATGGCAGTATGGTATTTGAGGGAATATTTATTATCTGAGTGTTTTTCTTTGCAACAGTTTCCCTCAGTCTATTGAGAATTATAACTTCCAAGGGACAGTGAATCACCCAGCAGCTTCTCAGGTACCCAGCTACCAAAGGCCACAGTTAATTGGAATTTTTATTTACCATTTAAGTTCGCTTTGCTTAAATAGTGGTCATTTTGGAGGCTTCTGGAAATGATAGAAATAAATCTGTGGTAAGATTTTTAAAAATAGTATTTTCTCTTAATAATGGGTCCAGCCTGCGCTTCATGGACACTCTGGTTTTTTAGAAAAAACTCTGTTAGACTGAGTGTTGATTTGGGTTTGAAACCAAATTTTCCATGACTGGTAACTGAATATTGTTATCCTGTGATGGATGGTGTTTCTTAACCTTTTTTTGGAGTCATGGGTTTCTTTTAAGTAATCAATAAAAACTGTAATCCCGTTTCCTGGGAAAATGCATAAACGCAAACACTTTGTATACAGTTTTAATTAACCCTGCCTCTCCCTGCCCAGAAGTCCAAGGGCCCCAGGTCAGGAAGTGGCACTATAATGGAACTCAAAAATCACTTCCACTGTGTTGGTTTCAACATCTATTATGCCACACTAAGAGTTTTCTTCACTTGAAGCTTTATTTGACATAAAGTTTTCTCCTTGATCATTATATAGTAGAAAATAAGCATAATCTAAATCTTGTTTTGTAGAAAAAAATACAGTTTTCTTTTAATTTGAAAGCTGGTGTCTGAAATTTTAGAATGTATTTGACCTTCTGTATGCTTTAAATTCTACCTTAGATGCATAAGAAAACAAAACTCACTTTACCTTTTGATCGAAAGGGAAGGCAACAAAAGAAATGAGTTCCTATGGATCTATGGTTTAAGAAAGTAGTGCTTCCTTAAAAAGATGTTGCGTTTTTTGTTTAGTACAAAAATATGGGTTTTTTAAAGATTGGCCCTGAGCTAACATCTATTGCCAATCTTCTTTTTTTTCCTTCTCCTCCCCTAAGCCCCCCAGTACATAGTGGTATATTCTAGTTACAGGTCCTTCTAGTTGTGTTATGTGGGACGCCACCTCAGTATGGCTTGGTGAGTGGTGCTAGGTCCACACCCAGGATCCGAACCAGTGAAACCCTGGGCCACCAAAGTGGAATGTGCAAACTTAACCACTCAGCCAAGGGGCTGGCCCTGGGTTTTCATTTTAATGAGAGGTTGTACAGCTGTTCAGAAGTTACTTGTGGTTGTGCTGGTTCAGAGCTCGGACTTGGGTTTCAGGCAGGTTAGGATTCAAATCCAGCCTCCGTGTTTATCAGCAATATGACCTTGGGCATGTTACTTATCTGTAAAGAAAAATAAATAAATCCCCCAGAAGGGATTAAATGAGATAATATCTGTAAAGTGCTTGGTTTTGTACTTTGTGTATAATATGCACTCACTGTCCTCTTATTGTATCATGATGAGGGTATATGATGAGGAATAGGAGGAGCAGCCCTGCTTTTCAATTGCAGAATGTTCATTTTTCCTGTTAAGAAATTTAGGATATTAGATCTTGGTTGCAAAAAAATATAAATCTTCGCATTCCCCAAAATAATCTTCTCAAGTCTTGGTGGCTTGTAGTTGTTGTCAAAGTTCACTCAGGAGTTCTCCAAAGACAAGGTAGCAAACTAAAGTTTTCCTATTTTCCTTATCAGTGTTCACTTGTTACAATGGGGCAGTATGTTAAAAGTTATCCACTAAACTTGTCTGATAATTGAATTAATATTGAGGAGCAGCAAAAGGGAGATGTTACTAAGAGTGAATTAAAAATTAAGCACTAACGTGTTCTGCTTTTGAATCTTGACCTCTGGTAGAGAGCCATAGGTGAATACTTAGGGTAGATGTTGTTTCTTTGCATATTATGTCATAAAGAAGACCTCTAATTTAAAAATGTTTAATAAACTATAAAAATGTCAACCACCATACAAATGTCAGCTGTAAGAGTGTTCCCATTGTGGTTTGTAAAGTATTTGGCGCCAAAGAAGAAAGAAAGAGGATGATATATGTGATGCTTTGATTAAATAAAAGATGAAATGAAATGATTTAACATCTACCTGAAGTGAAAGGCTTCAAGTTCACTAAAAGGATGATTTCAGACCCTCCCCAGAAGAAGTGGGATAATATCCTGTCTGATCCCTTTCCTTTTCACTTTGTGGTTAATTATAACCAGGTAATAATAATGGCAGTGCCTATGGCAGTGGTTTTTGTGAATATCCACATATGCACGTATTCACACACTTGTCTATGTGCTTTCCAGGATGCTTTGGAATGATTAATTCAGTTGGGAAACATAAATGTCAGTCAATAATGAATTATAAACACAAGAGAAGCTAAGTGTATTCTGAAAATTTTGAAGTTGGTATCATGAGGGAGTATCCATTGTGTTTATCTATAAAGTATCTCTTATTATTACTGACAGAGAAAACAACTGAATGAATTCATTATAGATTTGAGCCTGTGTATTTCCTATGTGAGGAAACAAACATTACTTAATCACTTTATGTTAATGAAAAATTAAATGCTATAGGTATCATTGAGATATAAAGAGAGCACTTTGCCCTGCTATTTTCTTTCTTAAAATACCAGTTTCATTCATTCATTTTCTTGGACCAGACAAAAAGTTTGAAAAATTATATTCCCCCTTTTCTTTCTTCTCAGTATTGTCAGTGAAGCAGGAGCATCAATCTACAGTGTCAGCCCTGAAGCTAACAAAGAGATGCCAGGACTGGACCCTAATTTGAGAAGTGCAGGTAGGAAACTATGGACCGTCACAGAAGCAAGTGATTTTAACATTTTGGACTTGTATTTGTAGCAACCAAAATATTTATATATATAAGAAAATTTAATAGCTATACTACATGCAAAGAATTGCCATGTCAGAGAGAAAGTGGTTGATTGGAAGAAGAATTAGAATTATGTAAAAGAAGAGGAAGACTACTGTCTTTAAAGAATACTGCATAGTATTCTAGAGTCAAGTGAAATATTAGCCCAAAATGTCTTTAGTAAAATTAAATGCTAGACAGTTAATAATAAAATAATCTAAGATGTATTATTTCACAATATTATTTATTACAGCTTTTTCTTGGCAAAAAGTAATACTTTAACATAAAAATATTTATAGCACAAATGTATGAACATGCACAGACTTTCCATTTATTGCTAAATATTTGTCAAATGACCAATTTCTCTTGTCTTGCTAATTGGGGTTGTCATTATTGTATGGCATAAAACAGCCTGCTTTGATTTTAGTTGTATTCAGTTGCTTTGATTTCTGTGATGGGGAATAGTTAAAATCTTGTGTGTGATGAAATTAAGATACTTTGTTACATCTAATGAAAGTAATTGGTGTCATAAGCAAAATATTAGATTTGGTCCAAGTGTTTTTTTGTTTAATAGATGGATATTTAGACTACTTTGTTAGTATTGGACTTTTTATTTAATTTTTTCCCCTAAATACTCTCATCAAATTTCATCGGCTATTATTGAAATCTGTGCTTGGAGATACATGTTTGAAAATTTTTGCATTAATCTAAAGCTAAAAACTTCTTTCTTACATCCAAAAGAGCTTTGTAATTTCCCTTCAGTTGTTCGTTCCATGGCACAATCCCCTGTCTAGAATGATCCTCTTCTCAAACTCAGATCCCAGCGCAAAATCTTGCTTCTTCTGTACAACTTTTACCTGTCACACCAGCTCAGCGTGGTCTCTGCCTCCTTGCCATGTGCTCTTTTAGTCTTTGACTTGTAATAACAGTTGTAATAAATAATAGCAGGAAGAGTAGACATACTAATCATAATGGGAGCTACTAGTACTAATCTTTTCTAAGCTCTTAATATATGTGAAGCATTGACGTAAATACACTACCAGGATTATTTTATTTAATTCTCACAATTGCCCTATGAGACATTTATTTTCTCCCACTTTACAGATGAGGAAACCAAGGCTTAAAGAGACTACATAGCCAGTAGGTGTGTACATAATATTTGTGTGCTTAACTTCTAATAAGAAATAAGTCTAATTTCTAATTCTAATAATAAAAGGATACTTATCTTTATAGAAAATACAATTCAGAACCTCCCAGTTGGCACTGAAAGGTAATTTCCAACAAGCTGTTTGAAAAAAATATTGCCTAGGAGGTGGCAATCCCTCAGACCTCCCACTTCTAAGGGGGCTGCTGTTTCCTCTTCACCGCTGGCCTGTTTGAGTGCATAACTGTCACAGTGTTATAGGTGAGACAAGATTACAGCTTTCCAACAAGACTCTATGGCAATAGGCGATAATAGAAAGAGGAATCATTATCTGGTCCTAATTACTCCTATTTCAAAGTCTAGCTGTGTCTTCAGTTCGTGATTCTAGCTTGTTCTCTGTCCTCCTTGCTTCCACATGGCGATGACTGTTTTGGTCCAACTTAAACATCTACCTAGACATTTTGAGTCTTCAGAGTCTAGTCTTGGAGGCAAACAGAGAGAGAAGCTCAGTCTCCACTCTTGGTTTTCTAGAGCTCCCTTTCTTTTCAATTTCTCTTTTTTGACTTGGAGTCTTTCTCTTTGCTAATGATTGATGCCAGGGATGACTTTATATTTCATTTGAGACCTGACCTACTTAGAGTGTAGGTTTTTACCTTTCAACCCTTCATAAGTTTACTATATCAGAATCTAACAGAACCTCAACATTTGTACAAGTGTTAAACATATGTAAGAAAATGGCCTTCATATTACTACATCTTCTTGACCAGTTTATCAGCTTATTAAAAACAGAGTTATCCTTATACATGCTTGTATTCCTCCATAATAAACACATAGTACATGAGAGGCATTTAGATTGGATCGATAGAATAATAGATTGATGTTAAAGTATTTATTTTGGATTTGTGGTTTAAAATGGAAGATTGAGTATACCTGTTATTCCTTTACTCTCTTCTGAAGTCCCATTAGAATGACAGTACCTTGATAGAATGAAGGCATAAACTCGCTAGGACAAGGGAATGGGAGAGGAGATAACAGCAACAATAGTTTTGAAGCTGGAAAGCAGCCGGCTGAGTAATAAGTGATCTAGCCAGCTTGAGATTGTTGACCACTCAGACAGCATTGTAGAAAACAGAGAACTAACCTGAAATAGTTCATGGAACCCCCATGGAAATGCACCAAGCACCTTTAGAAGTATCTTGGGAGGACTGAAGGTAAGTCTAAAATAAGAGGATTGGTTTAAAGTCTGTTTAAAAAGCAATTAGACCAAGTTAAACATGGAAAACCATATAACCCCACAGTTCTCCTTCTAGGTAGCTACTCAAAGAATTGAAAACAGGGACTCACACAAATGCTTGTATACAACTGCTCATAGTGGTGCTATTCACAATAGCCCAAAGCTGGAAACAACCCAAATGTCCATTAGTGGATGAATGGACAAACAAAATGTGGTGTATCCATACTATGGAATATTATTTTCAGCTGTAAAAAAGAATGAGGTACTGATACATGCTACAATATGGATGAACCTTGAAAACATGCTAAGTGAAAGAAGCCAAACACAGAAGCTCACATATTGTATGATTACATTTTTATGAAATGTCCGGAATAGGCAAATCTGTAGAGACAGAAAGCCAGTTGGTGGTTGCCAGGGACTAGGGAGAGGGAGGAATGCAGAGGGACTGCTTAATGGGTACAGGATTTTCTTTTGGGGTATTGAAAATGTTTTGGAACTTGGTGGAGGTGGTGGTTTGCACAATGTTGTAAGTGTACTAAACACCACTGAATTGTACACTTTAAAATGGTTAATTTCATGTTATGTGAATTTCACATCAATTAAAAAAAAAACAGACCTCCCATTCCAAAAGTTGAATACTGTCCTCTTTTCATGCTTGCAGAAAAGGGGAGATTTGTTCTCTGGAGAGGGTAAAACAGAAAGTCTACACTAGAGGACACAGGTTATAAATGGGAATGGGGATACATACTGAACGAAGAGGGATGCAATAATTATTTACATGCTGTTGTAGAGACCTTGAAAAGAACTAACTGTTCCATGCGGGAAATTAGGGGATTCTGACGAACACAAGAGAAAACACCTAAAGAAACTGAGATAAGAGATTCCACAAAGAAAAGGCCAAATCACCCTATGGTGAAGCCCACAGTTGACAGACATCACGTTTAAGCAAACCACTTACAGTCAGCTTTTTAGTACCTGCCCCGGTGGACAGTCAAGGATCACCTAACATGTAAGGAAAGCTTAGGCTATTAAAGACAGATGGCAACATACATGTGGGGGGAGCTTCTTGGAGGAAATAGAGACTATATAGAAAGAATAAAAATAAAGAAAAAATTTGATATCCTTAGAGAAATAAAAGATATTTCATTCATTTAAAGATACCTTTACATAAAGTAAAATTCACCCTTTTTAGGTACACCATCTCTGAATTTTGAAAAGTTTAAACTGGTTGAGTAACCACAACCACTACCACCACAATCAAGGCATAGACTATTTTTATCTAGGTCAATAGATTTGTCAGCTTCCTGTTCAGAAATGTAATTATTAGTTAGAGGATCAAGATTATAATAGATTTGCATCATCTGTTAAAGCTACATTTTTTTTTTTTGGAGGAAGATTAGCCTTGAGCTAACATCTGCCGCCAATCCTCCTCTTTTTGCTGAGGAAGACTGGCCCTGAGCTAACACCCGTGCCCATCTTCCTCTACTTCATATGTGGGACGCCTGCCACAGCATGGCTTGTCAGGTGGTGCCACATCCGCATCCAGGATCCGAACCAGCGAAGCCCGGGCTGCTGAAGTGGAATGTGTGAACTTAACCGCTGTGCCACTAGGCCGGCCCCTAAAGCTACATTTTAATAAGCTTTATAGTGAAAAAAATTCTAATTTAGAGTTGTCAATGAAAAAAGACAGCATGAGGAAGTTTTACTTACCTTTGTTGCTGTCTGATGGCAAGAGGAAGGATAAAATTAGGTGAGATTTGGACTTTAAAAATAAAAATTTCCACTTTGATATTCCTAGATAACAGAATAAGGCAAATTTTAAAAAGAGCACAGTGTAGTACAGTCTTTTAAGCAATAAGTTTATTTGCTTTAGAAGCTTTAAGATTATAAATATATCATAGAACTGAAGACCAACCCCCATATAACTCTTTTTATCCTTTGAATATAAGACACATTGTGAGTGAGGGGACAAATCTTGCTTTCAAGGCCATTGCCCGTGGCTGTGCAGGTTGTGTACTGTACAGCCTGCTTGACCATGTGAGGCAGTCCTGGTTGCTTACCTTTTAGGGTGATAATCTTCACTCAGTCTGGGCTCCCCTCCCCTCCTTTTGGAGTGTCTAGCATAATCTTTTCTTCTAATGCTTAACTTTTTGTCTCAATATTGCTTATTCATTGTCTTCCTTTACACATTGAGTTACATTACCATATAGCAAATTACCATTTATTAAAAACTAAGTTCTGTTATGTACTTTTCTGTCCTCTTTTCATTGGTTTATCTGGTCTGCCACAATGCAAGACTCTCTCAATTAGTTGGCTTATAATATGACTTGCTTTAATCTTTTTTTTTTAAATTCTACTTTTCTAATGCATTTCTTCTTTTCATATAAATTTTAGAGCCATTTAATTAATATTTTTTAATTTCTATAGACTATAAAGTGAAATTCTGCTAAATTTATATCTTCATCCAGGTTCCTCACATTTTGTTTTTTATCACTCACAGACAGTACCTACACACACGCTCACACACACACACGTATAATGAATGGATTCTCCTCCATGACATTTTCTTATTGATTGTTGATGGGATTTGGTAGAGCATCAATTTTTGTCTGGGTGTCTTAAAACCAGCCAACTGATTGTCTTATTAGTTCTGATAGTTTTTCAGTTGATTTGCTTGGTTTTTTTAAGCAGACAGTCATCATCTACAAGTAATAATAATAATCTAGTTTGTGTCTCTTCAGTAATTATACCTTCATTCCTGTCCAGTTGCATTGACTAGAATTTCCTGAACTATAGTGAATAGTACCAGTGATACAGAGAAATATTTATGTTATATGTGGGCAAAATAGTATTTAGCATACATTTGGACATACTCCATTTTAAAAATACATAACAAGACGTGGAAGCAACCTAAGTGCCCATCAACTGATGATTGGATAAAGAAGACATGGTATATATATACAATGGAATACTACTCAGCCATAAAAAAGGATAAAATCGTCCCATTCACAACAACATGGATGGACCTTGAGGGTATTATGTTAAGTGAAATAAGTCAGATAGCGAAAGACGAACTCTGTATGACTCCACTCATAGGTGGAAGTTAAACATATAGACAAAGAGAACTGATTGGTGATTATCAGAGGAAAGGGGAGGTGGGGGGAGGGCACAAAGGGTGAAGTGGTGCACCTACAACATGACTAACAATAATGTATAACTGAAATTTCACAAGGTTGTAAACTATCATAATCTTAATAAAAAGTTTAAAAATAATACATAACAGCTTCAGTGAGATATAATTTACTTAGCATAAAATTTACCCTTTTAAAGTGTGTAAGTCAGTGGTTTTTTTAGTATAGTCAGAATTGTGCAGACATTGCCATTATCCGATTTTAGAATATTTTCATCACCCCAAATGGAAACCCCGTACCCATTAGCAGTCAGCTCCCCTTACCCTCCCCTCTGGAACCCCTGGCAAACACTAATCTATGTTCTGTCTATATGAATTTGCCCATTCTGGACGTTTCGTATAAAAGGAATCATACAATATGTGGTCTTTTGTGTCTGACTTCTTTCACTTAGCATGATGTTTTCAAGGTTCATCCATGTTGTAGCATGTATCAGTACTTAATTCCGCATTTTTGTTCATCCATTCATCCTTTCATGGACATTTGCATTGTTTTCACTTTTTTGGCTCTTATGAATAATGGTCCTATGAGCATTCATGTTCAACATTTTATGTGGACATATGTTTTCATTTCACTTGAGTATATATCCAGGAGTAAAAGTTTGGGGACATATGGCAACTCTATGTTTAATATTTTCCGGAAACCTTTTTTTACTTCTATTACTATAATTTCCTCACCATTCATTCCCTACCTTTTTCACTATTTTCCCCTTCTCTTTTCTGTCTCAAAATGTGAATGTGCCCCAAGGTTTGGGCCATGACTCTTTCTCTCTCTTTATTCTCTTTATCAGCAATCTTCTAAACTCTTTTTGCCTGTATTGCCTATCTATCTCTTACTTTCAGGAATCTGTTGTCAGTCTGATCAGTCTCAACCTATAGGTATGCATTATTATTCTCTACTAAATAACTCTTTTCTTGGTTATCCTGCCAGCAGGAAAACAGCTCTTCTCTCCAAAGCTTAGACATACTACTTTTCGAATTCTACTTTAAACAATCTTCATCTCCCTCCCTCCTCCTGCCTCCCATCTCTTCCATGTGTGGGTTTTTATGTGATATAGAGTGAACAACATCTGAAAGAGAAACACCAATTCTGGAAATATTAGGATCTATGTTGAGGTGGTTTATTGGAGACACTGTAACTCCAGAGATTCTTAGGACTTACTATAGAATTAAAAGTCGCCTAGAAACTATCATTTCCAATCCATTGTTGCTGCATTTAGCAATATTAGGATGAACAAGGGAGATAATAGCAGTGAACTAGTTAGAAGGGAACCGCATAGAAAGAAGTTTAAAATCCTTTTGTGTATTTCAGAAATTTTTAAATATGGGAATCTACCCACACTTATCAAATTATACAACTGCTCTAACCAGTTTCTAAGTTCAGGTTTTCATAATGTGGGTTTTCCTGAAGGGATAAATTTGAGAGATTTACCTATTATAGATATCTGTTTGTTGAATTTCTAATACTGCCTTCCTGCACCGTTAATGTTCTGACACCCGTATCCTTAATTTGTTTACTCTCGTGGGTTGTTGCTGTTGTTTTTTTATCTGAAAGTATTTTGGCAATGTGTATATGTGTTTGAAAATTATTCTTATTGAATTGTATATTTAAAGGCTAAAATAAAATAATATTTTCTTTTAGATAATTTCAGGTCTTTCTCTGGTGGCATATATTTTCAATGTATAATTATAAATATGCTTATTAGAGGAAAGCATTTCTCCTGTAACCTGCAATGCTCGCACTAATTAACCTTTTGTGATGTTTGAAAAGAAAGGTGTATGTGAAGGCCTCAGAATCCCCATCTCTTGTGTGGGCGAAGCTGCCATTGTCTCTGTATGTTAGAAGTAATAATAAAAGATATGCAAAAGACTTGAATGACCGTGCAGTGAACTTGATGTTCACAGTAGATCTTACCTCTGATGAGAGGCAGTACAAATCAGTGACTGGAGAATCTGATAGTCACTTGTAAGATGTGGCTTCTATGGCCAGGCCTTGAGTAGTTTAACATGAAAACAGGCATGAGATTTCCTTTGATGGCCTTAATGTTTTCACTTAATGAATTTATATTTCCTCTAGCCTTCTACATGATACTCACTAGCTTTCGTGTGTTTAGAAAATGAAAGCTGTTCATATGTAAGGACTCAATGTAACTATGCTACATGGAAAAGAAGAGAGCTGTCTTTAGAAGTGTCCTTAAGATTCATATTAAATTTTTAAATTTCTTTAGCTAAATCTATCATATAAGCTAAATTAGATGTGAAATTTTGTTAGCATTTGGTTAAAAAAATGATGACAATAAGTGATGACCAAGTAAAATCATGACATAAAAGAATGTTTGACATTAACACTCAAGTCTCTTGAATGTGGATTGTGATGATCGAGAAAGGGACGTGATTAGGACCGTGCATGTTAAGATACAAGCAGTTGGGACTCAGATCACTTTACAGGGTAATCTTGCAATCACATTCAAGGCAACACAGGTGTAGTCACTAGCCAATTGACTTGGTCTCTGGTTGCAATAAGATAGGATTCCGTCATTTACTCATCATTATCAGAATCTAGTCCTAATAAGCATATTTGACCTAAATGTATGTCATATGTATAATAATCCAGAATTATTTAGAAGTAAAACAAATATCTACTTGTTCTTTAAAGTGTGAGGAGTGCTACTATACTGTATTTAAAGAATGCAGAGGTAATTGTGTAAGTATAGCAACTAAGTGTTTTATCTCTTTTTCCAAATGTTTCGATTTATTTGTACTCAGGAATGCCTAGGGATTCTGATAACATAATTAATCCTGAAGTTTTGCATTTACTTTTTGTGTGAGAAAAAGGACACTTTAAGACTTAGTTAAATTGTTGGTCTTTTTGTGAGGGGGATGAAGAGGGACAGAATTAAGTACCTGTATTATGAAGAACTAACATAAGTAATTATCTGTAAACTCATTTCACATTAAGCCATGCTTATTTTCTGATTTTCTTTTTCAGTTTCCATAGCAAGGCGTGTACAAGATCCATTAGCTGAGCTGGTGAAAATTGAGCCAAAGCACATTGGAGTTGGAATGTATCAGGTAAAGCAACGTGGATCATTTAATTTCTGAAATCCATCAATACAAAGAGTAGTACCCAAACTTGACATAGTAATTAAGTGTCAGTGGGAATAGGTTCCCATTTTCAGAGGTATACAGTTTGTAGGAAGGTAGTTAGGAGTTATTAGGGAAGGAGGGATATTTTTTTTTCTGTTCTTTATGATTTTTATCAAGATTTAGGATTGACCGTAGTCGGATTTAAAGACTTAAAACATTGGATCACATTACTAACTTAATCTGGAGAGCCTTTCCTTTCTACATTGTTATAAAAATCGAAAGTGTATGGCGCAAGGGGAATATATTGGCTCTTTGTATAAATCAGTATGATCTTTCAGGAGGAAGCCTTTGCTACCTACGATACCTTATTTTTTTTTTCCATCCCTATATGATTACTACGTAGTTTTTGATCATTACCCAGTATGAGCTAAAACTTTTCAATTATTGTTACCATGTAGTAGTAATAGTGCTTGTTGTTGTTGGTTACTGTATTTTTTTCTTTTTGATAGATAACTTTTTTTTAAAGATTTTATTTTTCCTTTTTCTCCCCAAAGCCCCCTGGTACATAGTTGTGCATTTTTAGTTGTGGGTCCTTCTAGTTGTGGCATGTGGAATGGCCTGACGAGTGGTGCCATGTCCACGCCCAGGATTCGAACCGCTGAAACCCTGGGCTGCTGAAGCAGAGCACGTGAACTTAACCACCGGCCACGGGGCCGGCCCCCAGTTACTGTATTTTCAATTCTTGTTGTGTGCGTTCATTGGGCAATTGAGGACAACACTAAATCTTGGCAGAGTGAACCTGTGGTGGCTTAAGTTGTCTCCAGAAACCTCGAGTTGAATTATTTTCCTCTTTGGTGAAAGTCCTTCTTAAACCTGAAATAGAATATTACCATCTGTATAATTTTCATGGCATTTGAGTTATGGGTACTACACTCTCTCTAAAGAAATATTATGCTACTCAGCCATAAGAAATGATGAAATCTGGCCATTTGTGACAACATGGATGGGCCTTGAGGGTATCATGCTCGGTGAAATAAGTCAGAGGGAGAAAGTCAAATACAGTATCATCTCACTCATAAGTAGAAGATAAAAACGACAAACACACACATGGAAACAGAGATTGGATTGGTGGTTACAGAGGGGAAGTGGGGAGGGAGGGGGGGAAAGGGCTGATCAGGCACATGTGTGTGGTGATGGGTTGTAGTCTTTGGATGGTGAACATGATGTAATCTACACAGAAATCGAAATAGATAATGATATACACCTGAAGAAAAAAAAGAACTGGAAAGGGAAGAGACTCAGAGCTGCAAAGAGCTGAAAGGAACTATTAAATGTGCTATACTTTTGCCTATATAAAAAAAGAAATATTATTTTAGGTCATGGAATCTGTGAGCACTAGAAATGAAAGAGACCTTAGAAATCAGACAACTGTACCCCCTCATTTGACAGAAAGAGAAACTGTGTCCTAGAGTAGTTAGGATTTTTACCCAGGATCACACACACAGCCTGGACTAACCTGTCATGTATTGGGACTTAACTGGGAATATTCCCATTTTAAAGCAAGTTAGACTAAGAGGTCTCTAGTCTTCTAACTGGATTTGTTCATTTGGGAAGGATAGTTGCTGAAGGGACTGATCTAGCTATAGATACATAGAAATACCTAGTATCTAAAGAGTACGACTATAGCAATTTTATGATACAGGCATTGTAGTTAAGAGGAGTTGCAGCTATATTAATTCAAGATGAAGTTATGGAAAGAGAAACTCAAATTTAAAGAACACAGGCTGGCTAATAAACTATTGGCATCAAAGAGATCTTTAAGTAAATAGCATGGGCCTAGCCTCTGGATTCTTCAGATATAGCGTTTAACATGAAAGAGTTTGGAATTCATTCCAACGGCAGTGAGAAGTAATGGAAGAGTTTTAAGCAAGGGCATGATGTGATATGTTGATTTATAAACATTGACTGGCTACTCTGGGAAGATGGGCTTAGTAGGGGGAAGAGGAAAAACAGGAAGACCTCTTGGGAGGCTATTACACTAGCCCAGTTGAGAGATGATGGTGGCTTGGACAAAGTTAATGGCAGTAGAAATGGAAAGAAGCTGAATCTATTTTGTAGGGACTACTTGGTGACAAGTGAGAGAAAGGGAGTTGTCAAGAATTTACTCCAAGTTTCCTGAGTATGTAGATGATGCCTGATTAGAGTAGATTTGGGGATAAAATCAGTAATTTAATTTTGGGCATGTTAAGTGTGAGATGCATGTAAGAAATCCAAGAAAAGATGTCAAATAGAAGTTGGATGTGCAAGTCTGAGATTTAGAGAAATAGTCATATTGACATTAGAATATGAACTATTTAGCAAATAATGACACTGAGAAAGTGATCAAGATGGTAGCTGAGCTAATGATATTCTTTAACTTCATTACCACCACCACTGGCATTTCCACAACTCCAAATTCCATAAGATAACAGAAAAGATGTACATATATATCTGTACTTATATAAACACATGCTTATATGAAGACATTAATAATACCCTGGGAAAACAGGCAAGAGTCCCATCAGTAAATGGAAATTTTCCAGAGGCCAGAGAGGCTGGAGATCCCTCAAGTAGCCTTTGATTGTCAGGAAGCTCAAAGAGCCTCATCCTGGAAAGGCAAACTCTTGACATATACATGACACCTGGCATCATATCCTACATTTTCCACATTATCACTGGAGGCAGATGACAGTAAACAAAAACAGCATACACAGCATAGCAACTCTGAAATGATCTTGCTACCAAGAATCACTAAACGTTTGAGGAAAACCTATCACAGGAAAATGAAGCACAAAACTTAAGCAAAAAATAGCAGTGAAACAATGAATAGGCAACAGACTTTGAAATAAGTAAAATTAATATTCACAGAGAGATAAGAGGTTATTGCATTTGCAAAACAAACATGGGATAGAATGAAATTAAACCAATCTTAGATTTAAAAAATATGATTGTCAAGATAAAAAAATCTACAACTGGGCTAAATAAAGTTGATACAGCTAAAAGCAAATCAATGAATTGGAAGATTGAGCCAAGAGATTCTGTAGAATGCATTCTTAAGCTGAAAAAGGTGGAAAGCATGAAAAGCCGTATGATGTAGACGATATTCTAAACCTTCAACATTCATTTAGTAGAAGTTTCAAATAAATAAAGAGAAGGGAAGGGGAGTTATAATCACCGACATAATAGGAGGAAATTTCTCCAAACTGAAGACAGATAAGTCTTTTGAAAAAGGCCTAATGCATACTGAATAAAAAAATAACTAAAGAGCTACATTCACGTGCCTTCATAGGAAATTTCAGAATGCTAGTGATAAAGAGGAATTGACAGAAAGCTTCTAGAGAGCAAACATAGTTTATCTACAAGGGAAAGAATCAGATTGACATCAGTCCTGTTACAGTCATGCACCGCATAAGGACATTTCGGTTGATGACAGACTGTTTACACAGTGGTGGCCCCATAAGGTGGTTCCTAGTCTACCACATCGCCTAGGTGTACAGTAGGCTGTACCATCGAGTTTTGTGTAAGTACACCCTATGATGTTCACACAATGACAAAATTGCCTTATGACACATTTCTCAGAACATATCTCTATCACCTTCTTAAAAGAATTACTTATGGAAGTACTCCTGACCAAAAAAGGTGGTGGGGAGGGTGGGGGTCCAAAGAAGGGAAAGACATGTTTTGAGGAAACAGTATCGAGGTAAGGCAACAGCGGAGAACTTTACAATACACATACACACACAATAAAATGTATAGTTCAGTCTCAGAGTTTTTAATCTATAATCTTTCTTTTGTTTTAAAGATTGGCACCTGAGCTAACAATTGTTGCGGGTCTTTTCTTTTTTTCTTTTTCTCCTCAAATCCCCCCAGTACATAGTTGTATATTTTAGTTGTGGATCCTTCTAGTTGTGGCATGTGGGACACCACCTCAGCATGGCCTGATGACCAGTGCCATGTCCACCTCCAGGATCCGAACCCGCAAAACCCTGGGCTGCCAAAGCAGAGTGCATAAACTTAACCACTCGGCCACGGGGCCGGCCTCTATCTATAATCTTAATCTTTAAATATATCTATCTGATCAGATCAGCTCAACATGGAAGGGTGGAAGAAAAAGAAGTGATAGATTATTAGGATTCTTTTTCAGGAAAAATATTCAGATATAGATTAATCCTACAATTTGTTAGAAAATCATTATCTGAAATATATGAATAATCACAAATGGATATTTAATATAAATCATGAGAGTAAAAAAATTAAGTTTATCATTCCAATCAAAGGCAGAGAAAAGAAAACAAGAAAGTGTAGTAAGTAAATAAAGTATATGGTGACAGGAATAAATATAGGTAATAGGTAAAGGTGAATGGAGTAAATTTCCCTGTTAATAGAATCTCAGACTTTTAAAACTCAAATAGAGCTCTGAGCTGTATATGTGCAAGAGATAGTTCTAAGGAAAAAAGCAAGCTTGATATTAGAAATTTGGAGAAAAATATTCCACATGAGTGAAAAAGAAAGTCATAGCAATGTAAATATCAGATGAAATAGAATTTAAGACAAAATACATTAAACAGATCAAAGAGAGAGATTTCATATTAACAGATAGTTTCCTGAAAGGTATAATTGCCCCGAGACTTCTGTATTATCTAACAACATAGCTTCAAAAAAAAGTATGCAGTATTAAAAACTTCTAAAATTAGAAGGCAAATTCACTTTTTTTGTAGGAATCTTAGTAGACCACAATATATTAACATACATTTTTAAAACAGCTTTACTGAGATATAATCACCTATCATACATATATGCATGCATATGCACATAAATTCACCCACATAAAGTATACATCAATGATTTTTAGTACTATATTCATAGGGTTGTGACACTATTACCACAATCTAATTTTCAAACATTTTCGTAACCCTAAAAAGAAACTCCATATCCATTAACAGTCA